TCCTTGAGACAGGTGAGTGATAGACCAGGTAATTATCTCAAGTGTTCCTGTGGCCGCTGAGGTGTAGCTCTGTGTTGCACTGAACGACGCGGCGCACAGTTGAGGAACCTGCAAGAGCAACGAAAGAAAGGTCGTTATGTCGCATAATTCGACATTTTAGATCAGCTTGAACCGTTTTAGTTACATTTTGCATACAAATACCCCTCAAGGAAGGTTCCTTGATGTTGGTGAGGGGCTCTTGATTTAGGGAATTGGATCTGTGCTCCAGTTCCCCGAATTAAGCCTGAATGCCTTCCACATCCCCCCCCCCAGGCGCTGTATAATCCTCCGGGTTTAGCGCTTCCCCCTTGATTATAATAATAATAATGCATACAAATAAAACTGATGTAGTAACTGAGAGGGAATGTGTTCAGGTTGTTAGCTGAGTAAAAGAAGAGAACAACTCGGCTTAGATTTATAACAGAGGGGTTAATAACCTAGGATTATCCAAGAATGCCAAGCAGTGTGGCTTATTTCCATTGGGGAGGCCTGTGTAATGACCTTCAGGATGCATTATTATTATTATTATAATCAAGGGGGAAGCGCTAAACCCGGAGGATTATACAGCGCCTGGGGGGGGATGTGGAAGGCATTCAGGCTTAATTCGGGGAACTGGAGCACAGATCCAATTCCCTAAATCAAGAGCCCCTCACCAACATCAAGGAACCTTCCTTGAGGGGCTTCAGGATGCAACTATTAACTGACGTGTATTTCAGCTCGGTGTTAGCTTCAGCAGGTGCTACAAGACTCGCTTATACGTCCCGCCTCTCTCAGGGTTTGTTTCTAGCACCTTTGCTTTGCGAGTCTAACACGCTGCCACTGCACTACGAGCGGCTGAGTGGAAATAAATGCTAGATAATAGAGTATAAGACAATAATAAAGTAAGAAAGGCTGGGTGAGGCAGTGAGGTGAGGCGTCAGGCAGGTGATTAGGCAGGGTGGTAATTATGTAAACAGTGAGGGAGGCAGAAACAAGAGCTGGACACTGTGTGGAATGTTTGCTATGTGTGCAATGGCGGTGCTCCTGCCACCTCTACCCCCTCCCTCCAAGCCAACACCTTGCTACCCCCAGCTGCCCCTGACGCAGCACCTGCAGGAGGAGGGGAAATGCAGATGAAAGAGGGGGGGGGGTGATGCAGTGGGGAGGGAACGACGATGATTCTGGGAAGGAGGAGGAGAGGAGGGGAGGTTAAAATAAACTCTGGGATAGCTTTCAGTATGCCACCGTGCAGAGACAACATTGCATAATGGGGAGAAAGGAGAGGACGAGTTGAAAGGGATGATAAAGTAATAACTAGAGGGGGGGAAAGAGAGGAGAAACCGGAGTGGGATGAAGGCAGTGGAGGGAAGCAGTAGAGGAAGGAGAAAGAGGAGAGAGAGAGAGAGAGGTGGGAGTGAGAACCAGGGAGAGGAGAAAAAGACAGGGAGAGAGAGAGAGAGGATGCCAGATGTCTCGTCACACGGGTCCTACCATGGGTAAACAAAAGTGGTCAGGCACAGGTGTTGACCACAGGTAAACAAGCCTAGTCAGTGGTCCAGCTGTGGTCCACGACAGTCCCGGGTATGGACCACAGGTAAACATGTGATTCAGCTATCCAGCTGTGGTCCAAGACGTATCGAGTGATCCATGCTGGTGAGGTCCCATCCTCCCAGTCTAGTGTGAGAGATGCTTGAGGTGGAGATGATGGTGGAAGTGTTAGTGTAGTGGTGGTAGTGTTAGCATAGTGGTGTAAGTGTAGTGGTGGTGATGGTAGTAGTGGGGACGTAAGTGGTGGTAGTGTGGATGTAGGTGGCGGCGGCGGCGGTGGTGGTGGTAGTAGTAGTAGTAGTAGTGGGGATGTAGGTGGTAGTAGTGACAATGTATGTGATTCTGGTGTGAATGTAGGTGATGGTGTTGGGGCGGGTGGTGATGTTGGGACAGGTGGTGGTGTTGGGGCAGGTGGTGATATTGGGGCAGGTGGTGGCGTAGGTGGCATCTGTCACAACTGTTGTGGGTAGTTCACCTGAAGGCAGGTAGGTGCTCCAGCAGTGAGTTACAGGTTAGGGGAGAGTGATTGTTGGAAAATGGTTGTTGGTGGGAAGGTGGTGGAAAGGAGGTATGGAGAAGGTAAGCAGGGATAGGAAGGGAGGTGTGGGTGGAGGGTTGTGGGTGGGGGAGGGTGGTGTGGGTGGAGGGAGTGGAGAGCTGTGGATAGGGGAGGGTAGTGAGGGATTGCGTCACCACTTCTCAGTATCACTATCCTCACCACTATCTCCCTCCAGAGCCCCCCTTCCCTTCCCCCCCCCCTCTCTCTCTCTCTCTCTCTCTCTCTCTCTCTCTCTATCAAAATCACAGCTTTCATGGAGTGTCTAGATTTGTAAATATATTTTGATAACACAAATGCGAGTTAATGACGCAGTCAGTGACCGCTGTAGTTACAACCTTGAGGAAGGTACAGCCAGGGAAGCAGCTCATGGCTGCCCGTCTTGCGGTATAATAGCGTTCTTTTGCCTGTAAAGGAAGGTGGTATAGGTGGGGTGACATGGAGGACACTGCCCTTGTATATAGCAGGCATCTCTTTACCATTAAAGACACGGCCAGGCTGAGTACAGGTTCAGTGCTATACATTGTGTAGTGCTGTATCAAATACGCTCTTATAGTCCAGGAAAATGCAGTATACCTATCTCTGCCACTTTTTTCTCTTTGTGTTTTGACTCTTGTCATAAAACTACAAGTTTGTAAGGCATAATTTATTGTCTCTAAATCCGTGATTTTTTTTTTCCTCTAAGGTACGTTAAGTTCTCTGCCGTTGCTGCAGGACCCTCAACGATCTTTTCCAGAAGGTGAGATGGTAGACATGTTGAAGGTAATTCGGAGCCAGGGGACTACCAACATCAACAGCCTATATATATTTAGGTAGAATTACCGACAATATGTAAAGTAAAAAAGACACAGGTGCAATTAATGTGACATTTTATTGTGGCAACGTTTCGCTCTCCAGGAGCTTTATCAAGCCGGCTTGACAAAGAATATACACACATATGTGTATACATGTGTGTACATTCTTTGAGGTCAGTTGTGGCGTATGTAAAAGTCGAGGCGAGCGTTAAATGCGTCATTACCTGGAAAAAACAAGAGTGTATGTTGGGGTTAAACGAGAGAATTGAAAATGTATTTTGGACTTGAGGACGGGACATGAGACAATATTATGAAGAACACCTGGAGAAATTACCTAGTATCTTGTAGTGTGTGTGTGTGTGTGTGTGTGTGTGTGTGTGTGTAGAACCATCAGTCTTTTTTCTAGTAAGACTGAATCAAACTTCTAGTAACTCTGGTAGAAGTAACTATGTTAGCTAAGGGGATACATGCCCAGCTACTGAGGTACTTTGTTGTGACTACGTTTCGCTCTCCGGGTATTCGCCCTCTTGGAAAGCGAAATGTAGCCGCAATAAAATGTCCCATGAATTGTGCATGTGTTCTTCGACTGAATTGAATTTGTTGTTAGGTGTTGGAGGTGTTCAGCTACCGTGTTTGTTTACACACATGAAAAGGCAAGAATATTTGAGTTATACCAAGAAAGTTAAGTCACTCTAGTAATGTTTTAGTAGCAAGTTACGTCAGTAGACTTCAGTAAAATTTACTCATTTGACCCGACACTGTAAAAATAACTATATAATTACCCGGCAAACAGATGAACATGTGTGCAATACCTGGGTATCTTTATTGTGAGATTGGCGAAACGTCGTCTTCATATCAACAGTATTACATATGTACTACAGCAACATTTATAGGCAGGTTCCCTGACCAATCCTTAGTCATGTGACCTATCCCCTCCCCCCGCACATAGGCCGTCTCTTATAGTCCTCTGCCTCAGATTCGACCTGGCATAGCAAGTGGGTACACAAGATGGGCTGGGCTCCTCTACGAATACCAGTATATTGCCTTACAACAATCTATAGTTGCTTACCTAGCTACCATCACGCCATCTAAGACCCCTCCTAACATCCACGACAAAGATACCTAGGTGTTGCACATACGTCTCGTTCAGGCTACTCGTCTTTTGTTTCACTAGTGTCTAAAAATAGTTGATATTTTCAAAATTGATGATAAGAATCACCCTTTTGCGTCAATAAATAAAAAAAATGCGAAAGTGAATGCGCAAGCAAGTCTCTGCTGACAGCTAATGCTTGTATAAGGACACGTCTGACGCAGGGAAAGCCTTGATTTTAGACGATGTTTCGCCCGGGAAAAAGCTTCATTGTGTCCGTTTTGATAAAATTCAGTGCCGAGCTAAACGTCGATTTGAGAGGACTGGTTGGTTAATGAGAATTTTAAAGTCAACCACACGAGGCTGCGTGTCACCTGTAGGAACAAGCCAAGCATGTACACTCAAGACTTTGAGGAGGCATTTCTCCACTTGTGGCTTTTATCAAGATTGATATTAGGACTGATAAAGCCACAGGTGGCGAAACGTCTGCTCAGTAAATGTCCTGATTGTGCACACGTGTCTTATACCCACTCTCTGTTGGTACAAACATACCTGTAATTGTGCATGTGCAACTGTCAGGAGTAATTCCTGAACTAGAGATTAAACTGAATTCTCAAGTGTCTATATATAATATATATATTATATATATATATATATATATATATATATATATATATAATATATAATATATATATATATATATATATATGCCTTTCAGTGTGTGTATATGTGTATATAGGCATATCTCTCTCTCTCTCTCTCTCTCTCTCTCTCTCTCTCTCTCTCTCTCTCTCTCTCTCTCATTCTCTCTCTCTCTCTCTCTCTCCCTCTACCTCTACCTCTACCTCTACCTCTCTATACCTCTACATGTTTGTATATGCACTTCTCGGCTTGTTATCCCAGCCATCATTTCCTATGTTGTAGGGAGTAGGTGGTGGTCCCCGACACTCACCAGCCGATATTACTAATTCCGGTCCCCCCTTGATGTCTCCAGGTGTCTGTGTTCCCCGCCGCCCTCCGTCAAATGCCAGGGATTTCAGGGCTAAGGACCGAAGCCGACGAGCCCTGGGGAGGTCAGTGTCACGAGAAATTGTAGAGTTGTTGTTGTTGGTGGTGGTGGTGGTGGTGGGGGAGAGTTAAGGAGGGTGGAAGAGTGCTGAGAAGCAGGTGTCTGTGTCTCCTATAGTCTCTTGCTGTGTAGATAATGTGCAGTGGTGGTAGTGGTGGTTGCAGTAGTTGTAGTGGTAGCAGCAGCAACAACAGTAGTAATACAGCTGGCCTACTGGACCATCAAGTAGTATTTGAAGTAGTAGCAGTTGCAGTAGTAGTAGTAGTGACGGCAGTAGTAGTGTAATTAGTGATCTTTTTGTAGATTAATATCAAGTGTTGATGGTGGTTGAATAAGCAGTAGTAATAGCAATAGTAGTAATAGTAGATGCATTAGCAGTTGTAGCAGTAATGGTGGCGGTGATAGTAACAGTGTTGGTTGTAATAGTATCAGTGACCGTAGAGGTAGTACTGGAAGTAGCAGTAATAAGAGTGGTAGCAGTAGTATTGATAATATTATTATTAGCATTAGCAACAGATAGTATTATTAGCCTTAGTAGTGTTATCAGCATTAGCAACAAATAGTATTAACTGTTGTAGTAAGAGTAGCAGCAGCAGTAACAGCAAGTAGCAGCAGCAGCATTGGTAGTAGTCGTACTAGTAGTGAGAGTGGGGAGGCCATCATATACTAAGCTTGTCGAGTTGTTGGTCTCCCATGAAGGTTGTAGAGGTGATGTAGGCTCGCACGTAAGTTGTAGAAGCGATGTACAGACGTCCATGAATTGTAGAGGTGATGTAGGGGGCACGTGAGTTAGTAGGAAAATCAGTGTGTGCCAAGCAGTTAAGTCATGTCAGGAAGTGTAGAGGAATTCTTCTTGGCAGTTACAGCACACCTTGGGCCTGATGTGTCTTGTTTAAGTCAGATATACATTATTATTCTTGTTGTTGTTGTTAAAGGTGAAGCGCTAAATATTTAAGTATCATACATCGCTTGTGGGATGGAATTCAGTGAGATTTGATCTCAGGTAGTGTATATATTGTCCATACACTCAACTATTTTTGCATGACTGATTTTCCACCTGCAGTCAACCATGAAGAGAGGTACCACTGTACCATTCTCTCATGTGTCAAATGGAAGCCCGATTGATGGTATTATTTCCATGAGCACGTAAGATGACAGGTAAATCTTGCAAACGAATACACCCAATATACATTTTCCTGTATGTTTCTTAACGGATCTAAGTTCCTTTCTAATGTAGAAGGCCTGTTCTGAGATTGTCCCCAGGGGCTGTCGATTCCTTCAACATTACGGGCGACAGATAATCCAAAGATTAAAAAACAAAGTTGAGAGTGTTTTTTTTCTAGTTGTGTGTGTGTGTGTACTCACCTAGTTGTGGTTGCGGGGGTAGCTTCACAGCTCCTCTTTTTTTTTTTTTTTTTTTTTTTTTTTTTTTTTTTTTGGTGTGTGTTGTGGTGTGTGTGTGTGTGTGTGTGTGTGTGTTGTGTGTGTGTGTTGTGTGTGTGTGTGTGGTGTGTATTGCGGGATATATTGATGCTTGTACATAAGTACGTTATAGTTGTGACTGTATTGATAACTGTGTATTAAAACAGTCAACGATGCAGATGATGATGTAAGTGGTGGTAGTAACATAAAGGTCTTCAGAGACTGTTGAAGGTAATGTATAGGGTCTTCAGGGACTATTGAAGGTAATGTACAAGGTCTTCCGGTACTGTTGAAGGTAATGATGATGGACTGATTACAACTTTATTTAATTACTACTGCTCCCTTTGCATTTGACTGAAGAAACCTACTGTGTAGGCGAGTCGTTTCATCAATAAAGATACCCGACTGTGACACATGTCTTAATCTTTAACCTGACGGTATTTTGTATTATTTTCAACAATATTATCAGGCGCTGCAACACAACGGTATCTTGGCACAGAGGACTTCATCCATTCTTCATCGCGTATTTACTAGTTATGAGTGAGAAGTATTAGATTCCAGATGGACCTGCATTCTTCCACTAGTGGATCCCGGCCCCTACAATGTCTTCGAGATCTTCCGCCTCACCTTAGACAGTATTAAAGCTGGGTCTCATGCTTCAGCTTCGTATCAATCCAGACCATGTAGCTGAACTCTTCTCCAGGCTGAGGGACTGACCACCTCGAGAGGATGAGTCAAGTGAGACTTGTCCTCCAAACTCACACTTCTAAGATAAAAAAAAAACTCGTTAGAAAGGGAAAGGTATTACAAATGAAGACTGAGAATGGGAGAACCTGTTTTCAGACTTTCTCAACAATGAAGTGAAATGCTGGTTAGAGAACCGAGATCAAATACATCATAAAAGCCCAGGAGAATAAAATGCAAACAAGCCATTGAAAATGGGGGTAATCCCAACATAGTCCCATCAACCCACACTCTTCCCCCTGCAACTGTTGTCAGGGAGGATGGTAAATATCAACTACGAAAAAAAAAGAAGTTCGTAATGAATGTATTTTTTTTTAAAGTTATATTAAATAAGCTTAAGCTGAATGAAAAGCCAAATGAACTATGGTACTAAATGAAGTTAACACAGCTACCTGGCGAGACGTTACTGAAGCACATCCAGCCGCCATACTGACTCCCGCTGTCTTCCAGTGAGTGGTTCACCGCAACTGACCGATGGATGCTCCGCCACAGCAGGCTAGTGGATGGTTCACGCTTCGCCACAGCAGGCTAGTGGATGGTTCACGCTCCACCACAGCAGGCTAGTGGATGGTTCACGCTCCGCCACAGCAGGCTAGTGGATGGTTCACGCTCCACCACAGCAGGCTAGTGGATGGTTCACGCTCCACCACAGCAGGCTAGTGGATGGTTCACGCTCCACCACAGCAGGCTAGTGGATGGTTCACGCTCCACCACAGCAGGCTAGTGGGTGGTTCACGCTCCACCACAGCAGGCTAGTGGATGGTTCACGCTCCACCACAGCAGGCTAGTGGATGGTTCACGCTCCACCACAGCAGGCTAGTGGATGGTTTTACGCTCCGCCACAGCAGGCTAGTGGGTTTGGGTTTACGCTCCACCACGCAGCAGTGGATGGTTCACGCTCCACCACAGCAGGGTAGTGGATGGTTCCGCTCCGCCACAGCAGGCTATGGATGGTTCACCCCTCCACCACAGCAGGCTAGTGGATGGTTTCACGCTCCACCACGAGGTAGGGTGGTTCCGCTCCACACAGCGGCTAGTGGATGGTTCACGGGTCCAACACAGCAGGCTAGTGGATGGTTTTACGCTCCCCACCAGCAGGTTTAGTGGTATGGTTCACCCTCCACCACAGGTTAGTGGATGGTTCACGCTCCACCACAGCAGGCTAGTGGATGGTTCACGCTCCACCCCAGGTTAGTGGATGGTTCACGCTCCACAACGCAGGCTAGTGGATGGGTTTACACTCCACCACAGCAGGCTAGTGGACGGTTCACGCTCCACCACAGGCTAGTGGATGGTTCACGCTCCACCACAAACAGGCTAGGGATGGTTCACGCTCCACCACAGCAGGGTAGTGGATGGTTCACGCTCCACCACAGCAGGCTAGTGGATGGTTCACGCTCCACCACGCAGGCTAGTGGGTGGTTCACGCTCCACCAAAAGCAGGCTAATGGATGGTTCACGCTCCACTACAGCAGGCTAGTGGATGGTTCACGCTCCACCACAGCAGGCTAGTGGATGGTTCACGCTCCACCACAGCAGGCTAGTGGATGGTTCACGCTCCCAACAGCAGGCTGTGGGTGGTTCACGCTCCACTACAGCAGGCTAGTGGATGGTTCACGCTCCTCCACAGCAGGCTAGTGGATGGTTCATGCTCCACCACAGCAGGCTAGTGGATGGTTCACGCTCCACCACAGCAGGCTAATGGATGGTTCACGCTCCACTACAGCAGGCTAGTGGATGGTTCACGCTCCACCACAGCAGGCTAGTGGATGGTTCATGCTCCACCACAGCAGGGTAGTGGATGGTTCACGCTCCACCACAGCAGGCTAATGGATGGTTCACGCTCCACTACAGCAGGCTAGTGGATGGTTCACGCTCCGCCACAGCAGGCTAGTGGATGGTTCACGCTCCACCCCAGCAGGCAGTGGATGGTTCACGCTCCACCAACGCAGGCTAGTGGATGGTTCAACCCCTCCACCCCCAACAGGTTAGTGGATGGTTCACGCTCCACCACAGCAGGCTAGTGGATGGTTCACGCTCCACCACAGCAGGCTAGTGGACGGTTCACGCTCCACCACAGGCTAGTGGATGGTTCACGCTCCACCACAGCAGGCTAGTGGATGGTTCACGCTCCACCACAGCAGGCTAGTGGATGGTTCACGCTCCACCACAGCAGGCTAGTGGATGGTTCACGCTCCACCACAGCAGGCTAGTGGATGGTTCACGCTCCACCACAGCAGGCTAATGGATGGTTCACGCTCCACTACAGCAGGCTAGTGGGGTGGTTCACGCTCCACCACAAACAGGCTAGTGGATGGTTTTACGCTCCACCACAGCAGGCTAGTGGAATGGTTCACGCTCCACCACAGCAGGCTAGTGGATGGTTTACGCTCCACCACAGCAGGCTAGTGGATGATTCACGCTCCACCACAGCAGGCTAATGGATGGTTCACGCTCCACCACAGCAGGCTAGTGGATGGTTCACGCTCCCCTATAGCAGGCTATGGAAAGGTTCACGCTCCACCACAGCAGGCTAATGGATGGTTCACGCTCCACCACAGCAGGCTAGTGGATGGTTCACGCTCCACTATAGCAGGCTAGTGGATGGTTCACGCTCCACTATAGCAGGCTAGTGGATGGTTCACGCTCCACCACAGCAGGCTAATGGATGGTTCACGCTCCACTACAGCAGGCTAGTGGATGGTTCACGCTCCACTATAGCAGGCTAGTGGATGGTTCACGCTCCACTACAGGCTAGTGGATGGTTCACGCTCCACTACAGCAGGCTAGTGGATGGTTCACGCTCCACTACAGCAGGCTAGTGGATAGTTCACGTTC